CTCCACAGTAAAACGTATTCTGATTTTTAGGTAGTTTGGTCTGGTGTTCCTCCAGGGTTGAGGAAGTTTATACAAAGTCTTTCAAGGAGTATGCAAGACTATGTCATTTTAAACGTCACTCTTTTGTATTAAAAAAAAAACAGTATTGTAGCTCCCATTGCGGGCCTATGTTTACGTAAACATCCGGGCAATCGCCCATGTACTTTGAAAGGGAAAATCCTTGCGTTCACTTCAAAAAATGTTTTGTTGCCGTGTATTGTCGTTGTTTGTAAACCCTAAGCTCGAACAGTCGGTGAGTTTTCATTTCAGTTGTTAATGTTGTAATTTCGTTTGTTTTAAGCGTGTTTTCTGTTTGCAGAAAACCTCTCCTTTACTGGTTAGTCGAGTTTTCGACTCAAGCAAATGTTTCTGTGGACTAAACAATTGGGCCGGGTTGTTCAAAGGCGGGTTTAGATAACCCAGGGTTACCGTGAAATTAATTTAAGATCTGAAAGCTTTAAAATTAATTTCACTTTAATTCCATTTGTTTATAATTTGTTGATTGAATGCTCTAAAAAAGAATTGGGAAAATTATTTTAAAACGGCTTTTGAACAGAGAAATATATAAACCTGGGTTAAAATTTAACCCTGGGTTAGCGCTAATCGGTCTTCGAACAACTGGGCCCAGTTTTCGACTTCTACGTGGAGTTTAGAGGTTTAACTTGTTTCATAAGAGTATTTGGAAGTGGTGGAGGCATCGTAATTTTGTTTCGGGTATATTGTTCGGTTGGAACACTTCGAATTTGGAATTATGGAAGATGACCTTGAGCTACATTTGAATTCTACGCATCAACAAGCGAGTGATCGTACACACACGACCGCGTTGGGCGGTTCGATGGAAATGGAAGAAGAAAGTGGCACAGGAAATATTCAAGTTAACTCGCGTAACGAAGTCGAAGACGTCGAGGGATATTTGAACGAGAAGAAACGCGCTCTAAACAATTCGCGCTCCGGCTATGTTGGAAATCTGACCAGAATATAAAACGAAATTACCCGTTTGATCGAAAACGGCGGAACCCAGGACGAAATCTCAAGAGAAATGGAAAATTTTAATGATGGGTGGATTAAATTTGTGGATGCTCATGATAAATACTGCAAGTGTTTGGTTGTTGGTGTTGACGCTTCGGCGTTGGAAAAGGCTGAGAAAGGTTATAAGGAGCAAATGGAGCGAAAATTAAATCTCGATACCGCTGTAAAATGGTGGCGACCCGAGTATCAGCACAGCAGTGTATTTTCAAGCTTAAGACGTAAAGGCCCGGGCAGTAAAGCTTCCAAATCGAGTTCAAAGACATCTTCGAGTACGATGTCCCGAAAAAGAGAAGCTCTTGCTTTAGCTCAGCTTAAGGTCCGCCAATTGAAAATTCGCCAGCGATTGGACGAAGAAGAACAAGAGATTCGAAGGAAAAGAGAGTCAATGGAAGCCGAAATGGAGGCAGAAAAGGCTGCTATGTCATTAAAAATTTATGAAGAAGAAAAAGGAGAAGAAGGAAGAGACATGGAATTATTAATTAGTCATGAAAGGGAACATTGTCAGGCACCTCAATTACAAGGTGTGACCGAACCAAAGGGTACTTTAGAGCCCTTTACAATGAATCGAACACCATCCCCCAAACCACAAGTTTCTACTATTCCATCTCTGTCTACGACTAATTATTTAAATGAAACAGTATCTGGATCATTTCTGCCACACCCCAAACGGGAAGCCCTCGTCGTTCCTGCCTCATCGTGTAACTCAGCTCAGCCAAATGGTTACGCGACCTTACAACCAGTCTCTCATCTGTCAAGTTCCAAACAACTTAGATTTACATCCTCATTGGACAATCCTGCCTCTTGAACTGTTGGTGGCGTTACATCATCTGTGACACCTACAAGAAACACAGTCATAAGTTCGTTAACTGTACCTGTGTTTCAGCCCTGGGAATTGCAGCACACTACTTCCCGCTTGCCAAGTGGGGATTCGAAACCCTTGTTTGTTGATTCTGTAGTACCCAGTATTAAGTCTTCACAAGCATTGTATGAACAACCCGTCAGAGAATCGTGGTCTTCTGTTTGGCAAATGCCGCGAGCCCAGACATCACAAAATGTGACGTGTAACACAACACCAGCACAGCAGGTACAGCACTTTGACAGTGGAAGAGAAATGGTGAAGGCAATGAGGCAAGTGGTTACCTCGCCAAAAGTCGAATACCTCAAGTTTGATGGAAACCCACTCAGATATGTGTCATTTATTCACAACTTCGAAACTTATTTGGAACAGGACAACCCTGACGACTCTAGGCGTCTCCAACTACTGATCCAGCACTGCACTGGAAAGGCAAGAGAAGCGGTCGAGAACTGTGAGAATTTATCAGTTTCTGATGGTTATCGAGTGGCGAAAGAAACATTACGCGAGAACTTCGGGAAACCGCACGTAATTGCAGATGCGCAAATTAAGAAACTGCTACGTTTACCTAGGCTGAAGAATGTGGATGGATCTTCCTTATTAGAATTTAGTAGACACTTAGACACTGCTGATCGAACCTTGACTGGAATGGGAACTGAATATGTAGCTGACCTTTATCACATGAACACTTTGAGAGAGCTAACCAAAAAGTTGCCAATGTTCCTCCGAGCATAATGAACCGAGTGCGCTGGGAAAATTATAGTATCAGATCGTAGACCTAAGTTCGAAGATTTTGTAAAATTTATCAAAGAACGAGCCAAGTTGGTGGACAATGAATTCGGACACGACATGAACTCTGAACCCTCTAAAGAAACAGTTCTCGGAAGGAGCCAGGGGAATCAGAGCAAACTTCCCCTCCGCTCATCAACGTTCTTGACTGGAACTGGATCAACCGGTGGTCGTCAGAATGAAAACAAGAGAGGGCCAGATTTCATAAAGAATCAAGCTCCTTGTCTGGTTTGTTCCGAGCGACATGAAATTTGGAAGTGCGAAAGGTTCAAAGGTTTCACATATGGAGAGAAAAGGAAAGTTGTGCAACAGGGTGGACTTTGCAACAAATTTCTTGTAAAGGGACACATAGCTAAGGAGTACCCCAAAGTGAGTTTCAAGTGCCAAAAGTCTAGTTGTGGAGTTAACCACCACACCCTAATCCATCGTCACACTATAGGAACCGGAGGAGAAGCTAATGCTGATGCTGAACAACAATCGCGAGCAAGACAAGGAAATGCTTTGCTCCCTAATGTGACTGGGGCCGAGAATGATAGAGAAGTAACTGTAGCGGCCACTGGGGCCGGAGAAAACCGAGTTTGTCTTGGGATCCTGCCTGTCAAAGTTCAAGGAAAGGGTAGCGACAGGATGTTTGAAACGTATGCTCTGCTTGACAATGGTTCGGAGGTGACACTGTGCCATGAAAGGCTGGCAAACGAACTTAAGCTTAATGGAAATAGACAGTTTCACATTGACTGGAATGACGGGTTCAGCCCAGGTGGAAGGTTGCCTTGTAGATTTGGTGGTGAAGTCCTTGGATGAATCAGTTACTGTCGAATTGTTGAATGTGAAAACAGTCAATGATATGCCAATTTCTACAAGTTGTATAGCGAAGACAGAAGATCTTACTTGGTGGCCTCATCTTCAAGACATTGATATTCCAGTGCTAGAATATGGAGAAGTCTTGCTGTTGATTGGGATCAAAGAGAATCCTGCCCTGTTCCTTCCACTTGAATGTAAATCTGGTGGCCACGATGAGCCGATAGCTATCCGATACAGCTTGGGATGGACAGTGATGGGTCCAATGGAGGGTCAGAAAGGGGATCACGGTTGCTCAGTGAATTTTGTCCGCACGAAGGAAAGTCAGTGGAGGCAAAGGGGAGTCCACGCCAACACTGAGCCGTTTGAACATTTGTGTAATGGAAGTCGCCTTGATAGTGAAACTGGTTTAGTGGAAAGAAATGCAGGTGTCATTAAAGAGCAGGAGCAAGCTGTTAGTAGCGTGAAAGGCCCAGAAAACAACGAAGAAGAGCTTTAAATTCATGTGAATGTCCTTCAGCCAAACGAAAATGTTAAACACCATACTGATGATGAATTCTTACATCGCCAACTTGAGCGACCTTGGAAAACGGATTTGGTGACTCTTCCGTTGGAATAGATACCTTACCATCCAATGAAGACAACAAAGCCTTAGACAAGAGGAACAATCCCTACAAAGAGTGGGTGACCACTTTCAAGTTGCTCTGCCATGGCGGGAAGAATTGCCTTATCTCCCCAACAATAAACCAATGGCGGAACAAAGGTTAACAAAATGGCTTAGCAATGACCGGAAGGTGTTGGCTGAAATACCACAATCTGAAAGAGCAAGTTCAGTGGTCAACTTGAACATAGAAGATTTGCCCACAGCGTGTGCGCTTGGTTTGAAATGGAACGTAGAGACTGACAAATTTATCTGGGAGGTGTCAGCCAAAATTCAGCGATTACTGGAAGAGAAACCATTGAATAGACGTGCAGTGTTGTCAGTTGTTAGTTCATTATTTGATCCACTTGGTTTTATCTCCCCCTTCATAATGAAGGCCAAGCTATTACTGCAAGAACTTTGTCCGAAGAAGGTGGGATGGGACGGTGTGCATTGGTGAACAAGCAAGGGTTCAGTGGCTACGCTGGCTAGAAGACCTTCCAAAATTGCAAGCATTCCAAATCGAACGATGTTTTAAGCCGAAGGACTTTGGCGAGACAAAGAATGTTCAGCTGCACATTTTCTCAGATGGATCTCGTGTAGGCTATGTAGTAGTAGCCAATCTACGCCTTGTTGACATTTTCGACAACATCCATTGCTTTGTCATGGGAAAGGCACGGCTGGCCCCCATTCATGAAATCACGATTCCAAGGTTGGAATTATCAGCAGCAGTTATCTCAGTTAGGCAGTACCAGATCATAAGTGAAGAAGTGGAAATCAAGATAGATCGAGTGAAGTACTGGACGGACTCTACTACCGTATTGAAATGCCTTAAAATTGACACCAAGCGGTTTCACACCTTTGAGTTGAATCGCCTTACCACGATCCGTAGCATATCATCCACCTCAGATTGGAGATACGTCAACCGAGATGAGAATCCAGCAGACGATGCATCCAAAGGCTTGAGGCTTGACGAGATGATCAAGAACAAGCGGTGGTTAAATGGTCCAGCGTTCCTTTGGGAAGAAAAATCCTGTTGGCCAGCAATGATTGAAGTGCCCCCCTTGAAAGATAGCGATCCCGAAGTAAGAAAGGAAAGCCGAGTCTACACCACTGTTTTAAAAAATGCGGTTTTCCACAACTTTGGAAATTCATAAAAAATCAGGGTTTTAACTAGTAAACACAAAAATTTTTGTGGCCTTTTCCTCAGTGCAATAGAGAGATTTAATATGGTCAAAAACTTTTTTTGAGGTTATAGGCACTTTAAGCCTTAAAAATAAGTTTTTATGTTAATACCTAATTTCTGTATAATTTGCTGGTAGAATGGTTTATGCACCAGAAAGAGAAAAAGTATGGACTTTTTTCCAAAAGTTTTAGTGATCCAAGGTTTGATGAGCAGTGGTACATTGTAAGTTCCTTCCTAGAGCTTTTTTGCTCTCTTTCAAACCTGAGTTTAGGGTCATCAATTTAACAAGTTTACATCCCTTTAGTGTCTAGGATAAAGTGTCTCAAATATGAACAATATTTTTCAAAGGAGCTTTTATTTCTTTATTGGAAGAGGCCTGCTGGATCTACTGAGCCAACATACTATATTTTGTCCGCTTGGAAAGCAGACTACACAGGGGAAGGAATTTGGGTGGCAGTGGTTGACGATGGAGTTGATGGCAGTCTTCCTGAACTATCACCCAACTATGTAAATACATTATTTCACAAAATTATTGGTTGTTAATTATTGATGGCCTAGTAGGAGTGACAAACTCTTTATTTGATGAAATACATACATGCAGCCATGATGGAGTGACTTATCCAGGTGGCTTTTTAGTCAATCGGAACTCCCAAATTGCATCATCAAAACTTGTAGTCAGTTATGGTGTTTCTGCATTCTCAGAACTATCATGTGACACTTTAGTAAATGGCAGTTGGTGAGAATTTTGTAGGAAGTAATGGTATGATGATTAGGAAGGAGAGGATTGACAGCTAGTCATCTGACTCTAGCTTTAGTGCTATAATAATTATTCTAACCTATTCTTGTGTAACTTTTTTATCATTCCTTGACTTTGTTTTGTTTCATTGAAGAACTTAACATTAAGTTATGATTATGTGGATGGTAATGATGTAAATCCTTAAGAAAAAAAAGGGGTAGGGTAAGTGTACGTAAATGACTTTGTTGTGATGGTATTGTGGAAAAAAGTGTACGTTAAATTTCAAAAATACCCCTGCATTGCCTCCCACCAGGCCTGGGCTTTCAATAAATGTCTGGTGCCAAAATTCTTGCAACAGCAGGATCACATGTCATTAGTCAATATAAAAATTTTTTGTTTACTTGTCTTTTAATAATTTTTAACTTGTTTACTAGACTATACATGTAGTGTAAAAGCATTGTGTCTTTTAGTTTGAACTCATCTATCAAAATTCCTAGATGAACCCATGCACAAAGGTTATGCCTATTTTAAGTCACCCCTGTTTCCAAACTTATATCCTCAAATTGGGAGTGAGGCTGTTGGGTGGTTCATTCCATATTCTTCAAAAAAATTCATTTTGTTGGTGTCAAAACTACATGTGATGTATCATCTTGCCACTAAATCATAGTGAACCACCACCTTACTATTATGGGGGAAAAACTTGACCAAAGTATTACCATGCACATCTGCAAATATCTTATTCTCAATTGTGATTCTCTCTCAGTCATGGTAATAGATGTGCTGGTATCATAGCTGGAACAGCTGATAACGGAATCTGTGGGGTAGGATTGGCCTACAAGGCTACAGTTGCAGGTAATAACTGATCAACGAGTTCTTAACCTTTAATTCCCAGTAGTGATTAACATGTAACTTCTCCCTCTGATTTCCATACATTATCCAGCAAACAGGTAATGAGAATACTCAAACTTATCAGGTAGAAGTTGCTACCTTGACTGAACACTAAATTCTTATAACCAGTTTTCAAGGAAATGTGTAGCAGCTAGAGGGGAGAATTAATAATCAGATCTTGGGAGTTTAATATTCTCATCATCAATGTCTGTAGAGAATTCTTCTTTAATGGAATAGACCTTTCCCACATCAATCTTCTTAATTTCATTTACAAGAGGATTATAAGTAAGAAGCTTTGGTAGGGCAGTTTGACTTAAACTTGATAGCTGTCTTACCCCCCCCCCCCCTCTTAGCATCACTAGACTTCATTGATGATGCTAGCCTCACAGCTTGGTATTTCCTTTTCCCCATTACCCCAGATGTATAGTAAGTAGCTATGCTACGTAATACATTATCTTTTTAACATTCAAATTCTGCCAACCGTTCTTTTTTACATTGCTTGATGATATAATTTGTAACCTTACTGTTAGATAATATATAATCACCTAGAACACTGGTTTTGCACTTTTTAGATATGGTGTGGAAGAGACCATGAAGTGCCGGTCTTTTATTGGAAATTGTTCCTCCATGAATCTTCATGGCAGCTTCAAATGTTTCGTTACATCTACGCTGTAGTGTCTTAGGTGAGACGGTGTCAGTTGGTGGACACACACGAGTCACCGTTTACAAAAAAGAGACTACTGAATATGCCTTGTTATTTTTTCATAGCTTCTAATTCTGAATTCTCAGATAGAATGGTGTTGTACACTTGAGACAATAGCCACATCTAATACTGTAATCCAGAAAGTATCCTTGCAATATACATATTAAAGATTGCATATTATGCTTCAGTTATCATCTCAGCATGAAAATAAGAGAATTAACCAGTATCATAAAGAATACCCTGACTTCTCTTGTTCCTGCCTGTAATTATTATTTTCAAACAAACATGACATAACAACATATCTTTATTTCACCTTCTGGGGTGTGAACTTCTTTTTGTTGACTCTCAGTCAGTCCTTTTTTCTGAAAATATTCCATAAGCTTAAAAGTCTCCACATTTTACAACTTTAATCTGTTAATAAAATGTCTCAAAACATTACTGTCAAAACTTGCAGAGCTAAAAGATTCTGTGTTTATGTATGTAGATATACGCTTATTATATTACAAATCTTAAATTTCATGCAGTACTGTGCATTTTCCTTTTAAATTTGGTAATTTTGGTTTGCTTGGGCTTCAACAACAAAAATATGAACAAAACAGTGTTTTCCAGATCAAAACCTGATTTCTCCACACCTGCACGACTATTTGTACTATGATTGTCTTAGAAGAATTTGTCATTGGTTTGTGTTACAAAGTGAGGCCAATGTGTTTTAAGAAAGAACTGATAAGGGACTAAACAGTGAAACATATAGACTAAATATTTAACGATGGATTTCAAAGACTACCTTTTTAATAAGTTAGGGAAATGATACAGTAGCGAGAACGGATTCGAGTGGTATTAATTTCATTTCAACAGAAGGCAGTCATTCTTAATTTCGGCCCTGTGTTTACCTTATCATCCAGTCTCTGAGCTTTTCGCTGAAGTGTTTTCACCTCTTTGGAAAGCTGAGAAAGGCTGGCTTTCTCTCTGGCGAACTCCTCCTGCAAGCTTTTCCTTGCCTTGTTGTATTGCCCAACAGCAAAGCGGTTATATTGCTTTCGCTTGAGAGGCACATCACTCGTGTTGAAGGTTCGAAAAGTAAGTCTTGATCATTTCAGTACCGGTCTGTTCGTGCTCAAGTCTGACACAAACCACTCATAAAAAAGCAATATTTCTGAAAAAGTAAAACGAAATCCCCAAAACGAAAAACATACGTTTCTCACCGAAGGTTTGTAGTTTCCATTTTTGCAACACTTTTGAACATAACACTTGATGTTATGTTCAGAAGAACGAAAAAGCCTTTTGAAGCTGAAGTTAGCCATTTTTAGAGCAGTTCCTCACGGCTCCATGATAAGGCAAAAAGCGAAGACGAAGGAAAATTCACATAATTAACTTTTTCCGTTTAATTTGGTATCAAACTAAAGCTTGCTCTTCGTATTTTCGCAGGATAATGCTTTCAACTCATCCCGCGCTTTCCTAAACAGCAACGCGGGCATTATGTATACCTTTCCAAACTAGTTTCCAGGGCTATAAGTTATGACAACGGCCATATCGCCATCTTTGGCGACATTGCGTGACCAAAAATTGCCGACAGCTGACCCGGCGTGTGCATGATCGGTTCAAATAGCTCAGACATATCAAGTTGGTCAAGAAAATAGTGAAATACAAAAAGCAAACAACTAAAACTCACCATGCAGTAAACTTGAACTCCATTCAAGGTGATCAAAAGAAGGCTGACCAAAAAAACCAACTGAAAGACAGACTTAACCGTATAGCTAGGTTACGAAAAGAAAGGCGCTAATAAGTAAGTTTCCCTGTAGAATATTCCAAATAACTTCAGGATTAGCTTCAAGTTTGCAAAAATGAGGTACTTGTAGCATGATGAAGCTACTTGTTGTATTTCAAACAGAGAAATAAGCCTAACTGATTGTGTTGATAAACAGCCTTATGATACGGATGAAAGCAGTCCTAGTAATAATAAACCCTAACTATGTAGTAACGGAAATAAGGCCTGCGATACCGGTGCAGTGCTCTACCAACTGAGCTACTAAGCCAACTGGAAGCTGGTCAGTATGTTAGTTCGTATTAAACCTGTCGAAGTGATGAATCAATTAATTTGAATATTTGAAAATCATATATGTGCATGTACTGCAGTTTTAAGAAATGTATGAAAGCAATCCATGCAGTAATGAACCCCACTTATATAGTAGTGAAAATAAATTTTCTTTTTAGGCCTTATTTCCACCGTGTCTGCATAAATAGGATTCATTACTGTGAGAATTGCTTTCATACAATTCCTGAAACCGCAGTACACGTAGGTGACTTACATAATACATAATTATATTCAAATTCAATGACACATCGTGAACATGGGATTTCACAAAGTGAGATGGAATAAAAGCAATTTTCTCAGCAGATATACTGTGTTGTTTTGAACTTCTTTAGGTGAACAGGCGAAAATTCGTCCGAACTCAGCAAGATGGAGGCCAGAGCCGATTATATACTGAGTTTTTCACCTGCGCCGACACGAAAACTGATAATCAGTACTATAGACCACTTTCATAAATGGCTGCCGGATTAATATTCTTTTGTTTAAATATAAATTAGCCCTACTGGCCTCGTTCTCCAGTACAAAACTCAAAAGAATACATTATCTCAAGCGAGGCCAGTAGGGCTAATTTAAATTTAAACAAAAGAATAATTATACGGGAGCCATTTATGAAAGTTGTCTATGGTTCATACATCTCATTTGATTGTTTAACCCAAGATCTTATTGGTAATTCTCCTTACTGTCTGCTATACAATTCTTATATGTGAATTTGGAGAATTTTGGTATTGGATCAACAAATAATCCCCTAATTCATATATAAGCAAAAGCCTCCATTTGGGGCAAAAGTATCTGTGGACATGATCTGTTCTCATATGAGAGAAGGTTTTGTGAG